CATGTTGTTATCAGATCAGAAACTTCTTATCCGCTACATGAAAAAGGCACTACCTTTAGATCTTTCGAAGGCATTAAATGTCTCCATCACTCCGATTCTGAAAACATCCAGATTTCTTTCATCTCTCGGGTTCCTTGCAACGAGCAAACATTTCAGTCATTTTTGCCCCTCAGAGGCTTAACACGCATGGGGGAAACGGTCAGCAGTGTCGCCGTCAAATGCTGACATCACTATTCCAAATCCAGAGCACATCGATGGGTCCCGTTTTACTTTTGACGCCGTCAAATTATGCTGCTTGGTCGACGTCTCTCTTCCTGGAATGGGTGCGGCGGCTGATCGTGCTCGACGTCTCGGGATGCCGTATCAGCACTGTAAGGACATCACGGGCTTGACGCGTTTCACGATCGATTGGCTACCCTCGGAGGCGCGCGTACTCATGCTCTGCCTTTTTCCACAGGTCGCGATTAAGATCATCGACAAGAAGAGCTTAAGCCTGGACAACTTGAAGAAAGTGTACCGGGAGGTTGAAATCATGAAGCGGCTAAGCCATCCGAACATTATCAAACTGTATCAGGTGAGTCATAGTGCGTCCGAAAACAGTCTGCCTCCAGCCACCTCCTCAGGCGCTGCCGAAACAACACCGCTGGCGCGGATACGGGCCCAGCTTACTTTAACGCTTGAACAGACGGTGCGCCCGTCCGGTGTTCATAAGGAAGGCATTCTCAGGGGAGACGGCCGGTTTTCGGTGTTGCCCTCTGCTTGGTTAAATGCAATATCTGAATCAGACATGGAATCGAAGTCGTCTTTAGCTCCGGCTTTGGCGTCGGCTTCGGCTTCGCGAATCCGCAGTTTTCCTGCAAGGACTTGACATGTGACTTTGAGCCATTGTGTTCGGCTGTCTTTGGGTTTGATTTCGGTTTCGTGTAATTTTACATGGCTGGTTCTGACTTTGCCTTCGTCTTTGCACCATGCACAAAGTTAGCTTTAGTCTGGGCTTCGAACAAGGTTGATTTTTTGCTCTGGTTTTGGCTCTATGTGGTCTTGGAGGCCTGGTCTCAGCTTTGTTACGGTAACTTTGTCACTGCAGTTGCAGTCTAACTTCACAATAAACAGTCACGTCAAAAACAAACCAGTCCGTCATGCCATCCCATTATATCACGCAACTTTTCAAGGCTGTAACACATACATACAAAACCAGTCATTCATAGGAACAACTGACACCTGGCGACAGCCGGAGAACTAACTGTCCGAAACGTGATATACGCTCTAACACACGAGGCGAGCACGATTGTCTTGACAACTCTTCCACCCGTAATGCACCTTATCCCAACCACTCCTCAAAACCCATGGGATATTTCCTAAACCCATACAGTTTTAACAGAAACGAACATCTTTTGGTCCTCAAAACAACGTTATGCACTATATTATGTCCGGCTTCTGCTCGTGTTTTTGAACTGATGGGCTTGGCTTCTGCTCGTGTTTCGTAGGTTCCAGTTCTCTGATTTCGACTTCAGCTTCGCGCGTATAAACTTCGAGGCCACTCGCTTCGGATTCGTCTTCGCGCTTTAGAATGACGAATCCACAGGCTTCGGCTTCGGGTTTGCAGTTCCAAACTTTGACGCCTCCGGCTTCGGCTTTGACGTCAGCTTCGGGTCGTTGTCTTATGTCCGGATTCGGCTTCATTCGTCCCCATCCCTGATACAAACGCCTATCAATGGACAATTCCTTGTCTGTCGACTATCCACACTCTCGCCCTTATTGCAAAAACGCCTAAAACACGTCCAGACATGCCCGGGCTTGCGTCTGCTGCATCGAGTTGTGCATAGCGCCGCTGCTGTTCACCGGACAGGGCTTATCCCTAGCGGTTGGCCGAAGCAGGGTGCCGGGCGGGCGGGCCGGCCCGAGGGCGCCCGGAGGCGGGCCGGCCCGAGGGCGGCCGCCGCGGCCGTCGCCGCGCGTGTCGGCCGGCCAGCGCCCTCGTGACCGGTCGGCCGGCCAGCGCCCTCGTGACCGGTCGGCCGGCCGCGAGCGGTGCCGGGCGGACGGGCCGGCCCGAGGGCGCCCGGGGGCGGGCCGGCCCGAGGGCGCCCGGAGGCGGGCCGGCCCGAGGGCGCCCGGAGGCGGGCCGGCCCGAGGGCGCCCGGAGGCGGGCCGGCCCGAGGGCGCCCGGCCGCCGCGGCCGTCGCCGCGCGTGTCGGCCGGCCAGCGCCCCCGTGACCGGTCGGCCGGCCGCGAGCCGGCGGCGGCGTGGCGTGCCGAACCCAGCTTGGGCCCAGAATACCCGCCGGCCGACCGGCCGCTGCAGCTCGGGACATCAGCGGCGAGCCAGGAATAGTCGGCCGTCTCGCCGGCGGCGGCGGCGGCGGTGCGGCGGCTCTGCGTGGGTACGGCTCACCCCGTCCGCGCGCGGCCGTCGGCGCTCTGCCGCGCTGTCAGCCCCAGACGGGTCCGGCCGCGTCCCGGCACCGCCCAAGCGGGACCGCCCCTCCCCCCCCCCCCTGTGTGCCGCGGGCGCCCGCTGTGTGATTGGCGGCCGTTTTACGAAGCTTCGGTCAGACTTGACTATTAGCGTGCCTCGTGGGCGCGACCAGTTGCAGGCCCCCACGCTGCTTAATCTTATCACGGATTGCTGGCCGACGGGGCCTCGCGCAAAACACGGAGCCAAAAACGCGGTCTGCTGCGGTATGCGGAAGCGTCGCCTGCCGTCAGTCGCGGTCCGTCACAAGGTCTACGACACCTCCGTCGCCTGCCGTCAGTCGCGGTCCCTCACAAGGTCTACGGCACCTGCGTCGCCTGCCGTCAGTCGCGGTCCGTCACAAGGTCTGCGGCACCTGCGTCGCCTGCCGTCAGTCGCGGTCCGTCACAAGGTCTACGACACCTCCGTCGCCCACCGTCAGTTGCGGTCCGTCACAAGGTCTACGACACCTCCGTCGCCTACCGTCAGCTGCGGTCCGTCACAAGGTCTGCGGCACCTGTGTCGCCTGCCGTCAGTCGCGGTCCGTCACAAGGTCTACGGCACCTCCGTCGCCTGCCGTCAGTCGCGGTCCGTCACAAGGTCTACGGCACCTGCGTCGCCTGCCGTCAGTCGCGGTCCGTCACAAGGTCTGCGGCACCTGCGTCGCCTGCCGTCAGTCGCGGTCCGTCACAAGGTCTACGGCACCCCCGACGCTGCCATTCTCCGTCTCCCGTGACGAATTTTGTACTCTGTCATGGTCCAGTGCGTCCGCGTCTGGCTGTCCCCGGACCGCTCTCTGGTCCCGGCTCCGGCTGGACTCGGTCGCTCTGGTGGTCGCTCGGTCTCCGGTCCGTTCTCTGGTCCAGTGCATCCGGCTCTGGCTCTGTCTCTGGGTACCCCCCTGCCTCGGGCGCTGAGTCAGTGGCCGTGACAGTGACCCCGGATCGATTCGTCGGCGTACCCCTGGGCGCCGGACGGCGCGGCGTTCACTGAGGGGACCGTCGGTAGGAAGATGCGCTGCGCGTGCGCACGGCCGGCGGGTGTGACCGACCCGTACACCGCCTCGGCCATTACGGTGGCCGTATATCGGCACTGTTTCTAATGAGACCACTCTGGGATGGCAGCCGAGGCGGTTATAGGGCCTCGGTCGTTCAGCGGTGATGAGTGGGGCCCCGAGGTGTCAGCGGGCTGGTTAATGGGATGCAGCGCCGTCGGACGCAGCTCGTGGTGATGATGGAATCGGTCACTGATTGTGGCTACAGCGCTGCCGTGATGGTTCGTCTTCACCTGACGTACGGAAATAAAATTACGACTCATGAATGCTTGATTTACTGGGTTTGGGTATTCATTTCCTCTCCAATCCTGAGCGTTTTTGGAATGGGTAGTCTCGCGAATACGTTTTAGGTGTTGTCAGACATTGTCGATGCAATAATTACGTTCCTTGACATTTCTTCGCTGTTTTTGGACGGATCGCAACGGTTAAACGATGATGTCTGACCAGGGCTTATGACTTCAAATGGTTATTGGGGTTTTACCATCAGTTGCATGATTTTCGAAGCAAAAAAACAAACACATTTAGGCGACAATTGTCACAACGTACCGGGGTAGCTTCTGGGAGCGCCGGCGTTGAAGTCCATGCGGGCGACGATGTGCGACTTGGCATCTATTCCATGTATGGGATATTCCATGGGATGGATCTTGCATAGTTCTTAGCAATGCGCACTGCTAATTCTGGTTCAAATGTGGTCGAAACCTAAATTTGAAAGAAGCGCCCAACCAATACATTGGTCGGGTGCTTCTGGCATTCGGCGTATTTCACTTTTATCGCGAATAAACACACTAAAGATAAGAGCGCAGCGCCAGCGGGTGGCTATAGTTGGAGGCCTCACCACGGATAGCAAATCGATTTCTGGCCGCATCAGGCTTGCGCTGTCGCTCCTACCAAAGTGTTCTGGTCGAGAACGCTCGGACGGGCGCTAGCTCGCCGCCCACAGGATAGGACCAAGATAGCGCTTTGATATCGATTGCATTTGGCAATGTGGCATGCATCAACAGAGCTGCTGTGCATTGCCTGTGCGGTGTTCATTGCGGATGCCTGTACTGCTATGCCTGAACTGATGTCTGTTCGGAATAACTGTTTTGTTAGTTGGTATCAGTTGACACTCCATTCACAAATACGTCGCTATCATGTGGCGTTTGTCAGAAATGACACGGTGTCTCAAACATCAATCAATTAATACTTGTTCTCAGACCGATTGCGGGTTCCGTGTTGTTGATTTGTGTGTGTGTTCTCATGCGGGTCTCTCTTTTCAGGTGATGGAAACTCAGAATATGCTGTATATTGTATCGGAGTACGCCAGCCAGGGTGATATTTTTGGTGAGTACTGTTGGGTGCGATGATGTTTAAGAACCTGTTCACAAACGGTTCAGTTAGTGTAAATTTTGAATGCCAAATTGGTGCACTTTATTTATACGCTGTCTTCAGAGGCGTTTAAGTTTGAATAATCAAGCAGCAAAATACTAAAGTTGAAAGGTTTGTGCAATTTTATGTAGGAAGCTTTACATGCTCATGCCCATGCGTAACTTTAACCTCCAGGTTTACATTTCCATCCAACCACTGCGATTGGGTTGCGTTGAAATGTTTTCTGAGTGCATGATAATCTAATACAGAACATGTCGAATTTTACATATTGTCGTTTTAGACGGCAACTGCTGTGTCAGGGAATTCAAATGGAGGATACCGGTGAACAACCTGCTTATCTCACAGGCAAAAGCCGCTTACCAGTTACCGTTAAACGAAAAAGCTTCGAACTGACATGAACAACTGCATGGTCGCTCGGCCTAACAAACCAGCTTTGGTCGCTCGGCCTAACAAACCAGGTTTTGTCGCTCGGCCTAACAAACCAGCTTTGGTCGCTCGGCGTAACAAACCAGCTGAGGCAAACGGAATAGTCTGGCGGCGCTCACTTGTGTTGTAGTGTTTACGCTCACTTGTGTCGTAGTGCCGGTCCGTTTTACATACTCTGTACAGGACATTGCCGATGGAGCTCTATTTTGATCTCGAGCGTCATGAATCAGATCGTCCGAACATTTGGTGGTCTATAAAAACAGCTCCTGCAGTTACGTGGCCGTGCTGTATCAAGTGCTAAATGTGCCGTTCTGCATTTGGCTCTTCAGAAACATCGAGATAATGACTTAGATATAGTGTAGGGCACACATTGATACGCTTCGCGTCGTATAGATGGGGTCGATTTGCTTCAGGCACATAACGTTTACCCGCGCCGCTACGTCGCAGCACTGACAGCCATTTTAACGCGTTGTTCGTACATCCCACAGGGAGCGGTATTCCAAAGACACTTTCGTTCCCCGTACAAGTGTAGGCCAACAGTCGTCTGCGTATATCGCTGCTGCCGCTCAACGTTTGATGTGCATGAGAGGGGTCCGGGAGCGCCATGTGGACCCTTCATTTGTCACCAAGTCGTCCGCTGGAGTGGACCATCGGCCCGAGCGCACGCGATCGGCCATCCCCGCAGTCGTGACGTCACCCGGCCCATCCGTATCTGTCACGACTTCAAACGTCGTCCGGTGGCCGCGGTGCCAACTTAAAGACCCGTTTCCGTCGAGCCCGGGGAAGGCGCGCCAGAATCATAATCAGGCGATGTTTGATGTGGGATCAAGCTTCAAGACGGAGCTGTGCAGCTGCACGGCAGAGGCTCGGCGCCCGCCAGTCAGCGGCCCGCCGCGCCTCTGCCGGCGTCATGCGGTCCGAGAGGTGCCTCGGTACGCTGTTCGGCTCGCGGTGCCAGAGGTGCCTCGGTACGCTGTTCGGCTCGCGGTACCAGAGGTGCCTCGGCACGCTGTTCGGCTCGCGGTACCAGAGGTGCCTCGGTGCGCTGTTCGGCTCGCGGTACCAGCGGTGTCTCGGTGCTCTGCTCAGCTCGTGGCCTGGGTAAACAGTGTTATCTTGGGGACGCGACCGGGCCGGACTACACGTCCGCACACTGCTGAGCACTCGACCTGATTATGAGCGGCGTACCGGCCCGAGTGCACGTGATGATGTGCGAGCAGCTGACCGAATGCATAACAGGACGGCCATGGAATGTAGACACAGTGACTAGTGCTGAACCTCTTGGCAGGAGGCGCATCAGCCAAATGGAATGATCAGTAACATTGACGCAGGCAGTCATGATGGCAAGTGACTGAGGTGTCTGGGTGCGCTGGCATTGGGCTACCTATTGGAATTTGTCCATGCAATCCTTCTGAGTTAGTGCCAAATTTCAAGATAACTGCGGATTGGTGGCGCACTCCCCGTTCTCCCCGGGCGTCGCACCCGTGAGGAAATTTATCCGTATACCTACCGTGAACAGCCGGTGTTTCAGGTGTTACGTAACGAATGGTAAATGTGTTGCGCTTTTCTGCACTCACTTCGGCCGCATCTGCTTGGGTTATGAATCAATTGGCCGACGGCATGGGATGTTTTTTCTTGAGTATAAGAAATCCTTTGCGAAGTTTGTGAACCCACCAGTGAATGCTTCAGTCCGGTTCTGCGAAATCGATTTCTGCGCTGACTCATATGCAGGGGGCCGATTTCGATGCAGACTTGAGCAGGACAGAGTGGGTTTAATTGTATTAAATCTATATCGATTCCGACTCAAATACAGGAGGTCAGAATCGATTCCTGTTGAGTCGGTACCGGTTACGATTTGGAAAAACTCTTTTTATGAAGAAGGTCAGCAGACATGACATACATATTCATAACAGAACAGCTAAGCAGGTAGCTGGCCTATCATGTGATGCTCACATGATATTTCAGAATACCGACACCACCGGTAACCCATTGCCTATATATGAGGCCACTCATCGATGATTCCAGCCAACAAAACTAACTTAACTCCGAAGACGATTCTGATTCTGGCTCAAACACAGCCTGCAGTGAATCCCAAGTCTGGGGCCGAAGGATCACACGTGACCCGTACTACGTACTCACATATATAGCCCACCACCGTCCCGGCAACTGTATTTTTGGCTGGCATGGCGCACAGCTCACGAACTAGCGCGATTTCCACTCTTTCGCAACCCGTGGGTGCCTTTGACTTCTTCGAACGTTAGCAGTCGCTCCCAGTTTATGTCGAATTTTCACCTTGTAAGCCGGCTTAATGCCTTTGCCTGGGTTTGATTGCTCAGTATAATGAAACGGGAGGGATTTTGCCTAGTCAGCCAGCCCATTTAGGCGCGTCCACACCCGCCGACCTCCGGCCTTTGCGTGCTAGGGCCGCGTTTAACGCGTTCGCACGGGTCCGTTGCCAATGCTGCGCTGGCTGCTGACTCCGCTTTTGCAAAGCTCGCGTGCACGCGTTGCATACCGGCATGTTCGAACGCTTTCGGAGGTGCTGGTGAATGGCCAAAAGCTCGTCAGATGTGACGTCAGCGGGTGTGACGTCATCGGTCCGTTAGGGCCCGGTCAAGGGGTTGCTAACCGCGCTTCGGAAGGTCTTGCGGTCCATTGTCAACGGTGCATGTGACGTCACCCGTCGGTCGGACGTCAGAGGCGGTGGGGGGGGGGGGGGGGGCAGGGGGATGGTGTGCTGCCCGGTCGGAAGCGCGTTGTTGGACCCACAGGAAGTGTCAACCGCGCCCCCCCCCCTCCCCCACTACATTACACAGGGATTTTCCAGGCGGCTTCTGGACAAAATGAAGTATTTACAAGGGAACCTTCTGGACACCATTAAGCCCTTGTGTCGTATTCGAGGGAGATCGTAGGCACGTCTCCCTTTTCAAATTGTGGCATGTATTATAAGCACGTAAATAAATGTCGCTGATTATAAAAAAAAAACTAGAAAAGAGACCTTCTTATCATCCAACAAAGGGCTTCCCCATCCCAAACAGGGACTGTTGTTGTAAAAGGGGTCTCCTGATGCACAGCACTCCTGATATGTTTCTAATCCTGAAAAGAGGCCACCTTGTTCTTTCATCGATATAAATATACATTTTAGCGAATGTCAATGTCAGCGAATTCGTCGTCAATACTGTTAATGTTCATTTTGCGCATAAGTTATGAACATGGTTTTCAATCTTTCCGCAAAAACGCTTAGGCAGATGACTCCTGTTCAGAACCCATTTTGCCCGCCATTTTCAATAGGTATGAAATGCAAGCCAGCTGCACGCCTGGGGAACACTGTTCCAAACTGCTGTGTCTCTGAGGGGAAAGCAACCCTCACTCGTTTCTATTCGAGCGTGTGAAAAATGAGACAACCGTCATACCAATGTCATGCGTAAAGCAGGCTCATTGTAACAACGTTGCAAGTTGGGCTGGCTTTTCGGCTACCATGCGATGATACTTATGTACACATATTCGGCGCTCAATGAGCGTTCTGACGCAGGAATGCAGCTAGAGTATTAATAATTGTAGGGTGGGATACAGGGCTGACCAAGCCCTTCCCCTACGGAAAAGCCTCTACCCACCTGCCCCGAAAAAGAGGTCATCGGATATGGGCTCTCTTGATTTCGTGGGATCCATGCCCATCTTAAAAGCCAGGAGTCATCAATAGATGCTATGCTGCTTGTATTTTGAAGTCGATAAACTGAATGAAACATGCTCTTACAATTAATTTTACAATGTTTCAGTGGGCTTTTTCTAAGCCAATAGCATTGAAGAGCTGTCCGATTTTTTTATGGGTTGCACAGGGACGTCGTGAACGCGGATATTCGATCGAAGTAAGGTGATAGATTTACATTCGCATAAACTCGTTTTGGTCTCAGAATGCTCAACTTTGTTCAGAATCAAGTGGGGGAAGAATTACATGACTCAGTTTTGGCCATGCGCGCTCGCAAGTCTTACAAGAACTGCGACACCCGGCGTTACAGTCTCCAGGGGCCGTACCGCTTCGGTTCCATGTCTCTAACACTAGGCGATGACCAACAGGCGGACGGAAACGACAACATTTCTTAAGGAAGTACCTTTCAACGTTTTAGGATGTCAATTGGCACGCTTGGAAGGTGCTCCGAGAGTATGTTTTATCTGTGCAATTTTAGATGTATAATATTATCGGATTAGCATTCATAGCATCGCGAGCCGTTACAAGAGTTTAATATTAGAATTAGGCAAGTAAATGCTAAATCTCTATTTTCGCGTTGCTGTTGCTGTTTATCCCTTCAGAGGATAAGCTCAAAATCATTCAAGTTGAATATAAGCCGCAGTCCAGTTTCTGAACGGTAGGAATTGGTTTTAAAAGGCTTTTGGCCGCACCATTTTACGATGGCTGTTCTCGAGCGCCGGCCGCCCACCACCCGGCGTTAGCTGCACCGGCCAACGCCGCTCGGTCTCATGGAAACTGCTACCTCGGCCGTTTGTGTTCCTGCTCCTAAGATTGTGAGTGC